AGTTCCACGCTCCTAATAACCTAATCACAACTTTGAGCACGAATTAGCAGGGGCATGAGGGAATCCTTCACTTGTGAAGGAGATTTGCGTTAAGGGCAAAATTGAACATAAGTGACGTTTCTAGATATGCGCGTCCACCTCATCCGTCTGTCCGCTCTGCAACTGCATTAAAGGCAGTTGGCACGATAAATCCCCCAAGACGAGTAGGATTAATACGCCTGGCAGGACGGAATTCCGCGACCCTGAGCAGGCGCTGCGTAGCGCCCTTTCCAAGGAAGGTACCCTTATAAGGGCCCTATCAAGCTACAACATACCGACCCGAACGCCCACCACGCCCGCCCGCCCACAAATGGACGACCGTTCCTGACGCTCGTATTCATTCATTTGCTAAGCAAATTATGAAGCGAAGGGATTGGTATGAAGCGGCCGTGATGCTGCATGGATATATGAGTACACATATGCAGCCGTACCTTCGGTAGCGGTTATTGGCAAGATGCCTACAGGAAACTCGTCCAAAATTGATTTCTAACACATTGAGAACGGAGGCTCTTTCTTCGCAGGATTTTGACCGTTTCACTCCGTTCTTTCGCCATTTCCCCACTATATAGCGCCCTACTAGCATTTTAGGCCGAGCACCAAATCATCGTGCCAACTGCCTTTAAGATGATGGATAGTGGGAGGATCCTGATTGAATTGGAATTTCGTGGTTTGTAAGCTAAAGCGCAAATGAGAGACTCTGGAGGACTTTGAGGAAGAGTGGCACCTAGGAGATTGGAAGTTGGAAGCGCTGGAAAGTGAAGGCGTTTGACGGTTAAGAGAACAACTACTGAACCTTGAGCCGCGTTTAGCCCTCTGAAACCTTTGGACTTGTTGGAACGGTCCAGGCCATAGGTAAAGAGTTCCTCTTGGCAGCATCGTTTGCGCAGTAGAGAAGGAAAAATGCCAATGGTTACAACTGGTGTAAGCATTCCCGCAAAAATCATCAGGAACCCTCTGCAGTAGACATTCTTTCTCTGTATAAATGATAGTGATCTACCTTCAACAAGTGCATCCTTGGCTCCAGTTTCTTTGACCGCCTGCAATCTTTTTGCTTATTTTTAACCGTAAATTTTTTTTCCTTTCCAAAACATCACGCTTCTTAGTTCAATAAATCCGCGAGCTCGGGAATTTAATCACTCTTTTCCAGCGATGAGCAGCGCACCATCAACGAGGGTCTCGTTCGCTGAAGCGGCAGCTGCTCCTTCCAGTTCCACATCGGCTCTATATTCCACTAGTCCACGATATGATGTTATAGCTGGCGATAATGCATCGTCATCCTTTCAAGCTGGCTCAGCTCCATATGCGTTTCCTCAGTATGATGTCGTACCTGCTAGTACTGCTGCGCCATCGTCTACTGCTGTGCCATCGTCTCAAACGGCTTCGAGTCATGGTCAGTCCAAGCATGTTTGTAGCTCCAGTCCTATTTCCTACGGATGCTGGGATGTGTCAGTGGGGCTGGGCTTGACGCGGAGCCAGCTCAGTTTTCACCAATTGTAAATTGTCGCTGGCCCCTTCAACAATGGTTGGAGAACAGGCAGGCGTCGCGCCGAACCTACCATCCCCCCCACCACCACCCAAACTTATACGCCCCAACGAACAAGACTATAATCCTCGGTATCACGCAAAGGCAGGGCAATCTTTCAGTGAAAAAATTGCTCTCGCTCATGGTCTTGTTTTCGATCCAGGGTTGATCGAGAGCTCCATTCACATTTTCCAAGGCGAAATTCAGTTTTTTGAAAACCAGATTTTTCCCTCCTAGTGTGACGCTCAATAAAAGGTTCTGCCCAGCTTGAAGATTTATGATATCCTAGTTGAAAGAAAACAGGTTGACTACAATATTTTCAGTGTATCCTGTTCTTTACGAAGAACCACCTGTAGAAGAGTCTACGACGATCCATAAACCGCCAGTTGAGAACGGACGACTACCGTCGGTAAGATCAGTTTAGATGTGGTGCTAGACTTTCCTTTCGCTCAGTTTCGGCAGTCGGAAGTGTTTCCTCGTCTTCTGCAGCCGATTCGTAGATAGGATTCCTAATTTTGGAACTTTTTTGAAGACGTGGGGGGGGGTGGCTAGATGCCTAATATGACGCTTATCATATGCACCACGAGCTGCTAGTTGACACACCTGTGAAGGAGTCACCAAAAAATTCGTCAAGAGTTCCTCAAACAGGACCTTTCCATACCTCCGTCGTGCTAGTCGCACGGTATCACGAGGAGGTCTTACTCGAGGCTGATTTTCACCTAGCAGTGTCTTCTAAACTGCAGTTCGCTGCGGATGAAGGACTGTGTCAGGCAGTATGAGTGTGCCACGGCGCCAAACCGTTCTCTGCCAGTTGTTGAAGCGGGTATGCGACAACAATTGGTAGAAAACGAGTGATACGAACGATATGATACAGTCTTGTCACTTGCTCGCTTCAGTAACTGGTAGAGAACGTGTCTGACACCACACCAAACGCATCCAGCCTGACACACCTTTTCATCCGTAGCGAACTGAATAGTTTGGGATAGCTTATACGTAAGGAAATGTGTCGTGGCAACAGTGTCGATTTCCAAGCGATTTGCGCACCAAACAGATAAGCTGAATCGCTCGGGATCGGCTCGGGAATTAGGTCGGAACTTTGTAAAGAGGTAAAACCTCCCTGGTTTCCACTCTCGCGTCACTTCAACGGGTTTTCGTGTGGCGAAAGCAAGGTACGACTCTAACTTTCAGCTAGCTATGCACCATGCCTTTCGAAGCAGTTTCCGCGATTGGTGAAAAAGTTCAGTTTGCTTCATAATTGTGTTATCTGAGCCCGCACTATAAAGGGATTGCTCTGTTGTGGCACGAAAACGTGCTGGAGGCTCGCTACAACACTTACTCCTATGTCCTTACCGCCCACGTTGATGGTATTGATGTCGTTGTACTCTCTCGCAGATCGCTACCTCGTCTTTCTCCACACTCTTCTCTATCTCGTCATCTTTCGCGTATTGCAGTTGATTTTATGTTCAGCTTTTGTCGGGGCCCGCTGAAGAAACAGAGACCGTATTGAGGGCAGTTTTTTTCAATTTTTCTTCACTACTGTGTCAGCTAGCACCTACACTTTAACTTTTAACCACCTTACCACTACTCTTCTTTTTCACGGCTCATAGCAGCTAATCTTACTTGATTGTGTCTTATTTCTCAAATCGTTTATTGTTGTCTTATTATAGCAATTCAGATTGGAACCACGACGGCACTCTTTAACTTCAAGCCTGTTGGACCAAATCAACTCGAAATTACAGCTGGGGAACGGTTGGATTTGATTCAGGTGAGCTTTCACTTTTATTAAAGGCAGCTGGCACGATAAATTTCCAAGACGACTAGGATCAATACGTGTGGCAGGACGGAATTCCACGAGCCTGAGCAGGTCGGCTTCTCCAAGAAAGGTGCCCTTATAAGGGCCCTATCAAGCCACAACATACCGACCCAAACGCCCGCCACGCCCGCCCACAAATGGACGACCGTTCCTGACGCTCGTATTCATTCATTTGCTAAGCAAATTATGAAGCGAAGGGATTGGTATGAAGCGGCCGTGATGCTGCATGCATACATGGGTACACATATGCAGCCGTATCTTCGGTAGCGGTGATTGGTAAGATGCCTACGGGAAACTCGTCCGAAATCGATTTACAAGAACGGAGGCTTTTTCTTCGCAGGATTTTGACCGTTTCACTCCGTTCTTTCGCCATTTCCCCACTATACAGCGCCCTACTAGCATTTTAGGCTAAGTAGGAAACCATCGTGCCAACTGCCTTTAAAGTTTTTTTTATTGAATCTGATCTGATTAGTTCTTCCAAAATGACAATTAAGGCTCACGATGATGGAGGAAACCCAGAGTGGATTTGGGTCCAGCGATTAAATGGAGATCATGGATTTGTACCTGCTACATATTGTAAGGCAGTATAGATGATAACATTGCAAGGTCCGATTCCTTCGTTTGTATTGTTATTTTTCATCTTTGCATTAACATTTTTTTATTCATATAATCTCTTTAATATTTGTGCTTAAGTCATCATCTAGGCTCACTTAGATATCTTAATGACGCGACTTAATACATAGGTAATGCCCTCCTTTGCCCAAATTGTATATTGGTGCTGCTCAAAGGTTTCCCATCTTGCTGCACTATTCCTCTTCCTGTGATACAAACATATGATTAGTTAGTAGATTCCTACCAGAGATCGAGTTCTATTTTCTGTGTTGCTTCCGGGTACACTATCTTGTCCCGTAACTGTACGCAATTTTGGCCCATTATAGTCCATAGTCATAATTTTGCCATCAAGTTTTGTGCTTGGTTTTATATTGGCTGAGCTGTATTCCAATGTACTATGTGGTGCTCTTAGTTAGTATAGTTTGAAATATGCATAATTGCCATTAATTAAATAAAACTTCTATGTCAGTCAGCACTATCGATACGGTAGGATACCCAAAGTCTGACGCTAATGAGACAAAGGGAGACCATGGCAGAATTGTTCCTCAGTACGACTCCCTCTAATGAGAGGAGTGGTGTGGTGTAAAGTGGCCCGTTTACCATATAAGGGGGTCGAATGTCGGACCGCCCCCCCCCCAGGTCAATCAATCCTTCTTTCCTCCATAGTGGGGATACGTGCAGCATCTCAAAAGAGTCTGATTAACGGCTCTCGGTCTAGCTTCTACACGGTCTCATTTCTTTTGATTGCGCCAGTTTTCTACGTTTTACGGCGCTTTTTGTTCCGCATAGGACTCCTGTGATCTCACATATTTCAAATTTTAGGTATGCGCTCTGACTTCGCGATGAAGCGCGTTGACACGCTACAATTTCTCCAGTGCTAGCGTTACAGCGCTCCAATACTATAGACTCTAACGCAGCCGCAGACGGGTATCGATCGGCGCAGGCCGCTTGTGCACTGAGAGCGTAGGGGGGTTCAGGGGTTTGTGTCCCTTAGGTCGCAGTTCTTCATGCTGCCGGTGGATTCTCCACAGAGTAGGAACCCAGCGTTTTTGCCGGCCCGCCTGTGAAAAGTTAGTAGGAAAAGAACGGGGTAAAAACTATCGGCACTTCGCGGAACATTTCTCCGAAGCGAGTATGCCGAGTAAACTTATTTCACAACTCGGCTTCGGAGAAATGTTCCGCGAATTGCGATAGCAGGTTTCAACTCAACGTCTAAAGCGAGCAGTGCAGCATGCACAACTCGTGTTTCCTGTCCTGTTTACCTCTTACATCTCAGCATGATGTCGCCTCTGGGCTGCCTTCATACGTTGCTCAGCGTCCTCCAGCGACCACCAGTGTACGCCAGCGCCAGTACTAGGAAAGTATCGACATCGATCTAGCGAACGCCAGCGTCTACCAGCGTGCACCAGTGTCTCGAGAGACTGGGGAAGTACAGGTATAAGAAACGACAGCGTCCACCCACCAACGTTTGCCAGCGTACAGCAGCGTCTAAAAGTGGAGAGTATGGGAAGTAGGAGGGTAGCAGACAGCTGGATTAGGCGTCGTGAAATTGCGGCGTGTGCAGCCGCACCGGACAACTTCTAAGGCATAGAATTACGCAACTTTGATGTATGGACTAGCGCTATTGTAGAAGCGGTTGTAATTTCACGACGCCTAATCCAGCTGTCTGTTACCCTCCTATTCCCCATGTTCTCCACTCCAAGACGCTGCTGCACGCTGACAAACGCTGGTGGACGCTGACATT